TTTTCGGAAAAAGGCTACTTTTCCCGAAAAAACCCCTGAGTCTGGACACAGCCTAGGAGGGTAGTGAAGCACTGGAATGGGTTACCTAGGTAAGTAGTGGAGTCTTCATCCCTAGAGGTGTTTAAGTCTCGGCTTGACAAAGCCCTGGCCGGGTTGATTTAGTTGGGATTGGTCCTGCCTAGAGCAGAGGGCTGGACTTGATGACCTTCTGAGGTCTCTTCCAGCTCTATGGTTCTATGATTCTATGAACTACATTTCTATACAGCATGGAATAGGGAACCTTTTTAGGTCAGGGGCCACTGACCCACAGAAAAATCAGTCCAAGGCCACACACAAGTGAGAAGTGGAAAAAAACACTCACTGAGGCCCCCAACTGAGAAGGAGAAAGACACTCCCCACATAGCCCTCGCACACCTGAGCATAGAGGGGCCCAGCCTACTAGATTTTGTGTAGACCAGATTTTGTGTAAATCCAGCCCCTGCGGCACCCACCCCAGGAGTGACCAGACAGCCAACACAGGTTCCCCCAGGGATGGAGCCGGCTTCCATATTAGGAAGGCAGCAAAGGGACCCTCCAAAGGTAGGGAGGTGGGATGGATTCTGGAGTGTACTCCAGTGGGTTCCAGGAGGGCTGGAGCACCAGCGCAGGATCTCCAGAGCTGGGAGGGGGGGTCATGAGCCTCGGGGGCTTGGTCCAGGCAAGTCAAGGGCCGCATCCAGCCTCCAGGCCTGAGGTTCCCCAACCCTGCTGTACAGTAATGGTTCAAACAATCTAAGTCACTCCAGCAGCAATATGGAAACCTGCAGTAATATTAAATAGCTACGATTCCACAGCGCCAGCCAATAGCTATTTCCTATATGGTGACATCAGTCTCAGAATCACTCAGTTTTCTGGGTGGAGACTGGTTCAGTAGAATAATGGCTGACCTCTCGCTAAAGGACTGCCTTCCTTTAAAAGAAATGTAAGCAGTAGGCCCAATGATGGGCAACCCAGAGCTCCGGGCTTTCAGGGCTGGAGGAGTGTGCTGTGCTCCAAGCGGTGCTGAGGGCCCTGGGGGAGAGGGAGAGCTGGCATGGCATGCTCCTTGCCCTGGCCCTGCTCCTTCTGGGCGTGCAAAGCTGAGCCCCACCCCAGCATGGCTGTTGGCTCCTCTGGTAAGGAGCAGAGGTACTTCCACAAAATAGATGGAAGTGGTCATTCCTCCCCCTTACATAGCATCTCCCATCTGAATGCTCTATGAAAACAATAATAAAGCCTCACAACTCCTCTCAGAGGGGGAATATCTGGGGATAGCTGGGGAAACTGAAGTTTAGGGCAGGGGAGGGACGTGCCCCAGTGAGTCGATGGTAGAACCAGGGATAGAATGCAGCTCTCCAGTCACCCACTGTCTGTTTTAGCCACAAGACCATCCTTCCACCTCCACTGCTTGGGCCTTAAACAAACCTTGCGATAGGAGGAACCCAAATTTTACCAAACTTGTTTGTAGCCTTGCCATAGGCAAGCCTCTGAAAAAGACAGCTCCTGTAGCTGCGGGGCCATCACAGAAGGTTGGCTATGCTGTGGGAAACTAATTTTTATGATATAATATCCTAATACATAAGGACAATTTTCTGCAGGCCCTTACTTGACAACATTCCCATTCACTGCAAAGGAATGACAAGATTTGCCTTCTCAGTTGTGTCTACACTGGGGAAACATAAGTGAGTTTAAGGCTGGTCTGCGACCCATAGGGTACATCTATACTGCGGCACTATTGCAGGGTATTTCTGGTATCCCAAAATAGCTATTCCAAGTCATTTGAGCAAGCCTGTTATTTCAAAATATAACGGGCTCACTATTCCGACGTCCCTGTAAACTTTGTTCCACGAGAAGTAAGGGACGTTTTAGAATAGCCTGTTCTTATATAGATCTGAAACGTATCTGCCCCCTGCTGTAACCTGTTAGACTTCAATCCCCTTCCAAACTGAGATAGAGCCCAGGGCTATGTCTACACTGGCCGGTTATTGCGCAAGAACGTCTGTTCTTCCACAGAGCGTCCACACTGCCCACCCGCTCTTGTGCAAAAAGAGTTACAGTAACACATGGTAAGAGAGGTCTTCTTGCGCAAGAGCTATGCTCTTTTCAAACAGGTGTAAACTCTCTGGCGCAACAGCTCTTGCACAAGAGGGCAGTGTGGACGTGTGGCAGGGGTTTCTTGCACAAGAAAGCCCTATGGCTAAAATGGCCATCAGAAGTTTCTTGTGCAAGAGAATGTCCACTCTTGCGCAAAAGCACATCTCGCACATGGCAGTGTGGACGTGCTCTTGCACAAGACTTCTTGCACAAGAACCCTTACGCAAGCTATTCTTGCACAAGAAGCTGCCATTGTAGACATAGCCACAGTGTACAGCTACTGTGAGGCAATTTGAAACAGTCTGATTGTTTCCTGTTAAAAGAAAGTGGGCCAGGCTTCCTCAAATCACCTATAAATTTAACAGAACTAGTTTTAGAACTGGCTAAAATATTTCCCCACTGTGAGCAAGCCCAAGAAATTGTAATCTTTTGTTTTGTAGCACAGCTGCATTATTTTTAGAAAAATGCAACAACGGTGAAACAAGTAAAATAGTGCAACTCAAGCTGCATGCTGCCAAACATGGACAAGGACATTCCCTGGTCTAAGGAGTGCATTTTACAGGAGGTCATGTGTTGCTGAGGAATTAGATACACTATCCAGCAGAATCAGCAAACAGGCTACAGAGCCACATGCAGCTAAAACCAACAATGCACAGAAACATGCTTGGGCATCTCGTGATGGAGGCAGGGAAGGTTGAGTCTCCCCAAATCTCATGCTCCTGGGAGTGGGCCGTGGTAGATTTGAGGTCACCAGAAAAATCTCCCCTCACCATGGCCCTAGGGCTGCAGTGGGGATGTAGAGCTTTCCCAGACTTAGGACCGCAGTGGGGCAAGGGAGGAGAAGCAAGCGGGAAGTGGGCTGTTGGGAGGAAAGAGGTGAAGTGGTGGCAGAACGGAGAGAGAGGTATCAGGGATGGGATGGACTGGGGTAGGGTCATGGGTGAGGCTGTGGGCAGAAGGGGTTGACAGGGTGAGGGGCTCCAGGCTCAGAGCTCCTGTTCGGGCTGAGAGCTCTGCTGTGGTTCCAGCTGAGCCTGAGAGCTCGAGCCCAGCCAAGCCAATCTCTCAGCCCCCATCCTCACCCCCTTATGACCTCCAAGGTCTTAGCCACACCCCCCATCCTCCACGCTAACTAGGGCCACAGAGGGGTTGAGAGCAGCAAACGTGTGTGTGGCCTCAGCCAGAAGAAGTGGGACCTTGGCCAGAAAAGGTGGAGCAGGAGGCTCCCCTCCCCAAGGCAACGCTTTACCCACCGACCGCGATGGAAACACGCAAGCTTGACACCATCAGATGTGCTCAGCCCCTTATCCCTAAAACCAGCATGTTCCAGATCTCAGGAGAAACAGGGCAGGGACCAGCAGCCATGACAATCTGTGAGCGAATCATATTTCTTAGGTTCACTTTCTTGCTATTTCTCTCTCTCTTGACTTTGGTGCTGGTACACAAATGCCAGCTGGAGAGCCTATCCATAGAACAGGTACTACATGAGTAGCAGCTGCAGTGTGCATGCCTTTAGCCTGCCCTGCAGTCTCCCCTCTCTAGAAGTGTGAGGGTTCAGCCTCCAGCTGCTTTAGGCCTTTACCTCTCTTTGCCCACTGCCAGGTAGGTCTGGTGACTTGGTGATTTTGTTGCATGAACATTTGTCCCCCAGGAAGTGGGCTGAGACCCTCCAACTTACTTCACAGAAGCCTCCAAAAACCTGCCAGACAGGAGCCTCTTCGGTTCTGCTAGCAACCTGGACTCTTTGGGGAAATAATGACGGCCTACACTGCTAGAGAGAGCAATAGCCTATAGCAGTGGTGGGCAGCCTGCGGACCACTGGGGTTCTCTGTGTGGCCCGTGAGACATTTTGTTTACCGTTGCTCACACACAGGATTGCCAGATTCTGCTGGTTTTTGCTTGCATCATTTTCTCCTCCTAGTATTACAAAACTGAGCCACACATAAAGCAAGGGCACACGAAGTGAGGTGTGTACTGACTGCACACCAGCTTATGAAAGCCGTGCACACCCTCCGCTTCCAATCAAAGTGCAGCTACCGTTTAATCAACAAACCCCGCAAATTCTAGGTACGCAAGCGCATATGGCAAAACTACCTATCCGGGAGACCATCTTGGTTATGGCAATCTTACAGCCCACTGAGATGAAGGAGTGCCACTCATGCGACCCACTCACTAGGGCCACGTCTCCCCTTGCAGGAAGATTGGTGCTGTGGTGGTCAATATTCCAGTGTAGATTTAGCAGGTCTAGTAAAGACCCACTAAACTGAATGTTGAAGGTGTCCCCATCAGTGAACGTAAGAACATAAATATGGCCAGACTGGGTCAGACTAAAGGTCCATCTAGCCCTGTGTCCTGTCTTCTGACAGTGGCCAATGCCAGAAACCCCAGAGGGAGTGAACAGAAGAGTTAATCATCAAGTGATCCCTCTCCTGTCATCCATTTCCAGCCCCTGACAGAGGCTAGGGACACCTTTCCTACCCATCCTGGCTCATAAGTAGTGTACAGTGCCAGTACTCCTGCTCCTCAAGAGAAGTAAGGGAAGTCAACAGGAGCGTTTCTCCCATCCACACAGCACTGAAGCTCGGCTTAAGCTATGTCAATGCCAGCTATGTTTTTTACCTTGCCAGAGGATGTTGTGAAGGCCAGGACTTTAACAGAGTTCAGAAAAGTGCTAGATAGATTCATGGAGGTTAGGTCCATCGATGGCTATTAGCCAGGATGGGTAGGAAAGGTGTCCCTAGCCTCTGTCAGGGGCTGGAAATGGATGACAGGGGAGGGATCACATGAGGTTTACCTGTTGTGTTTCCTCTCTCTGGGGTATCTGATATTGGCAGATGTCAACAGACAGGATACTGGGCTAGATGGACCATTGGTCTGACTCTGTATGTCCGTTCTCATGTTCTTATGACCTTCCTCCATAGTGTGGACCTGGCCTAGCTTAGGTTGCCCCTCACTGGCCTATAGTCTCTGTATATATCTGGCTGCTGTAGGTGTTTCACTGAACGGTCAGCAGGTGGCTGTCTCTGATTAACAATGGCCAGCCAAATCCCTCTCCTCCCTACAGATTCCAGCACATTTGCTCCATCCTTAGGGTCACGTCAACCTGAACTACATGGAAGTGAGTGGACGACCCCGTCACTCTTACTCCTGCACATCTCCAAGCAGACATGCATGCGCTGCTCTCAGCCGCGGCAGCTCACGGCACTCAAGAGAGATAGGAGCATTCCATCTGCATGGAGATGAATTCTATGGCTCAGCGCCCAGAGCCAAGCCTACTGCCATTATCATAATCATAAACCTAAGTATACACAGGGGGTCTTTCTTCTTGGGATGCAACGATCACCAAGGCAAGATTATCTGGCTGCTTTAATTCTCTTAGAGGGAAATAATGCTGCATACTGAGGCTTGATACTTCAAACATTTAAATATAGACCAGGCAAAGCACTCAGAGTAGACCCAGTTCCTGAAAGGTATTAAGGCACCTAACGCCTACTGAAATCAGGCGTCTAAATATCTCTGAGGATTTAAGCTTAAATCCCCTATTTCAAAAAGCATTTTTGTATGTGTGAGAGTATTTTCTTCAGTCTAGAAAAGAACAACTGTGTACTTACTGATAAGGAGATGGAGAACATGACCTAATAAGTCATGGTCATCTCTGATTTCGATGACTCAATGTTGGCTGGTAAGATCCTCCTTAAGAAAGAACTATACTGATAATGCAGCAGCAAAGGCACTTTTCATAGCAGAGCAGCACTTGCTCAGCAATTGCTTCGTTACAGACAGGGCTCTTTTCTCCTCTACACTTGTGAAAATCCAGAGTAATCTCAATGGATTTACACCTGTATCGCAAAAATCAGAACGTGGTGCTGTAGGTGATCCATGGATGAGCCAAGGAATCACGCTGCCCAATGACACAAGCCCTTTAGTGATTAAATTCCCATAGGAGACTTGGATGGAGCAGAGTCATATATTGTATCAGGCACCTGTTAGAGATCATATTATTATAATGCAAGACAAGGTCACATAAAACCAGAATCTCATCTTCTTTGCTGTGGGTCACACATCCTCATTTGTCCACACTGGTTAATGAGCCAGTGAAAGCAACACGACATACACTATGGAGCTCAGTCTCTTAACCTGCATTAAATACAAATGGTCTTCATTTCCACAAAGTAACTAGACAAACCACATGCCTTAGAGCAACTGTTTCATTGCCAAATGAAGAAGCTAAGAACAGCCACCACCACACACTCAGCCTAAAGCATCATAAAACCAACAAGAGTCAGGAGAGTAATCTTTTCAAAATGTACGGTAAGTCAAGTTCAATATTAATCAGGCAAACAAGTCTAGTCACATTATCACCAGCATCATCAGTTAAAACACATCCCACAAATGATTAAGGTGTTAAGTGCAAGGAGGAAACTAGTCTATTCTAAATAGCTCGGATGAAAAGTCATGCAAATCTGTAACACTTACATCAGAGTCCCACAATAGCCACATAGAGGAAAGAAAAGAATACATTTTTAGAGAAAACATTTGTGAAAAAAGGGAAATTGTTTCAGAGCTCAGAATCTTCTGCAGAGTTTCGTCACTGTTCATAATACCAAAGGTTAAACTGTAGTTTATTAATTTGAAATGCATGATTTAACATTCTATTGCTAAAATGCTTGGGCAGCAGACATATTGACTTTCTGTGTACATAATAATGCTCTGTTCTCTGAATTAAGCAGGGTAAGTATAAAAATATATTTTAAAAGCCTAGAGAAACTCACAAGTCATAATTCCAAGGTATTGTACTCACATTTGCGTTCCAGTATAGCATCCCTGTTAAATTTGGCCCAGAAAATGGGGGTTCTGACAGGAGACTTTAAAACAATCGAATGAAAAAAAAGAAAAAAAAAAAAAACCAAATAACCCTGCAATCAGTAGACATTTTTCATGTTTTTATGTTCTACTGGAAATAGTTTTCTGAAAACAAAGCAATATTGCCATGCATTCTGTTATGCCAAGAGAACCTATAAGTGAAACTGACTAGGAAGAAAGGTTTAAACAGACTAAGTTATTTAATTGTGCTTACTCAGAAATGCAAACAGCATACATGTGAAGAAGTCAATTAAATTTTTTAAAAATTCTTTCCATTTCAGTAATCTTAGGTGAAATGTGCAATATTCTAAAAATAAGGATTCTGACATATTTGTAACATATTAGTACATGGCTCGTTAAAAATGCACAATTTGGGGAATATGCCTTTAAGATCATGATCAGCTATATCCTGACAACCCTACTACTGCTGGTTACACAGGTTGAACCTCTGGTACCTTCGGGACCTAATCGGAGCTGAACCAGAGAATTTTCTGGACCATAGGAGGTCAATATTGTCCAGCAGCATTACCAACACTTCCACTGCTTCCTGAGCAGTTAGAGGACATTTAGGGGTAAATTAGAGCTAAATAACAGCACAGAACACTGAGAGACGGGACTGGTAGCTGTAAACAAACTTTATGGAACCACAGGAAACTTGGTCACACCCATGAAAAATGGACATCCGGATAACTAAAATCATTCCAGACAACAGGGCTACGTCTACACTGGCCCCTTTTCCGGAAGGGGCATGTAAATTTCACCAGTCGTCGTAGGGAAATCCGCGGGGGATTTAAATATCCCCCGCGGCATTTAAATAAAAATGTCCACCGCTTTTTTCCGGCTTTTAAAAAAGCCGGAAAAGAGCATCTACACTGGCCCCGATCCTCCGGAAAAAGTGCCCTTTTCCGGAGGGTCTTATTCCTACTTTGCTGGGCCAATATTGGAATCTTTCCTTGGCGCTCTCAAGGTGGCCTGTGTGTGGGAGTAAGAGCTAGGTTGAGTCCCTTAGGGTCACTGTTGGCATTTCAACATCACCAATGAGATTCTGCCTGTTGGGAAAGACTATCGCTGCTTGTGGCATCGGAACAGTCCTGTGTTGGTTGAGATGTGAGCGTTAGGGACGTTAGCATGCAGTCGTTTAAATGATTAACCAATAAGCCTGGGTGTATCGATTAATCCAAACGACTACATGCACTCCCCCTCGCCTTGATGCCTCTGTATCTAGGCAGCAAGTTGGAGGGAGAGGGAGCCGGTGCCCAGGGGGAGCCGGCTTTTAAGCCAGCTCCCCATGAGCAACCAGATCCCATGGAACTGCCTGCCCCTCCCCATCCCTGCGCTGCTGCCTCTGAGAGAGGCAGAACCATGGAGGGTGAGGGAAGCAGGCGGGAGCCAGTGCACACAGGAAGGCGGCTTTCAAGCTGGGGCCCTACACGTATCAGG